GTAACAGTGATACCCATAGTCATTGGGGCACTTGGTACCATGTCCAAGAATTTTATAAAATACATCAAGAAATTGCAGCTTCCTGCAATAACACCAGCAGAACTGCAAAAAACTGGCAAAATTGCAGGCCAAAAATATAAATATTTGATCCAGGATCTTTCCCCACTTGTTATGGTCCTTTGGGGTCATTCTAATTCTGATGGTTTGGGGGCTGGTCCAAAGACACTCCCCACACCCCTGGTGTTTTTTTCCTGTACAAGGGAAGACTATTCCAAACGCCTTTAACCACTACACTGTACTGCTGTCCGTTAAGATTACAATTGCCATTAATCTGGTGTGGTAACGTGGTTAACGAGGATGGGACTTGTAGTTCGTGGCAATGGGACTTGCAGTCCACCTACTGAGAGTGGCATTGTGTATGGATGGCAGGACTTTGTAGCCTCAAAGTTGGAGGTTGTCCTCCATCTCTCAGCCCGCCCATAAAAGGGGGCAAAATCTGCTACCTATTTATAAAGCTGGAGACTTTTATTTATGGCAAGAAAATATTTTCTTTTAAATGGGGGCCAAAGGAAATCACCTTTGCCATTCTCGTTAGGGTTTTTTTTCCCCTTCCTTCCTGGGAAAGGAAGGGGTAATTTGCATTGGTCTTCAGTTTGCAACTGGCGACTGCCAAGGATTTAAAAAAAAAATCGATTTTATTTCCATATCGCTGGAAGCGCTGGGAGGGAGATTGCAAACAAACAAACAAAAAGGTACTTCGCAAAAGAATGCAATTGCAAAACTACTTTGCAAGAAGGGACCAAGAAAAAACCGCAGGCTTCTCTCCAGCCTTTGATTCATTCGCATGCAAAACATTGAATTATAGGCATTAAATTCCCTAGGGGAAAGGGATTTGCAGGGGTGGGGGAGGAGATTCGGCTTTAATATTATTATTTTTAAAAATGCATTATTTTGTGGCCGCCGGAAAAAAACCTCTTCGGACCCTTTTCGTCCCACTCCAGACCCACATAGAGAGAAAAAAAGAAAAAGAAAGGAGTGCTTTCTTCCCCCACTCTCCATTTCTTAATGGTTTCTTCTATTCTTCCCTTGCCAGCCGCTCACACAGAAAAGGGGCTTTCTTCTCATCTCCCCCCCCCCCCCGGTCCGGAGAAATGGATCGCCCCGCGTGCGCGGCGTCCCCCCCCCCCACACATACTCACCTTCCTCGCGGCGACCCCCTCCCTCACGCCCTCACGCGCACACTTTGAGGGGCGTCGAAGCCAAAAAGAGAGAGAGCGAGCGAGAGAGACAGAGAACGCATGCGTAACAAACCTTCAGTGATTCCCTCGTAGCCGCCTTCGTTTAAATCTCCGCATCTAAAATACAATGGCAAAGCCACGCCCACTTCCGGGCTTTACAGCCACTCCCCCTCGTGCGGGGTGGCCCGATGTCTGCTTCTAAGATGGCAACGCTGACGTCATTTACCCTTATCTTTTTAAACCCCAGACGTCTGTCCTTCGTTGTTGTTATTGTTGCCATGTGTTGCCTGGTTCACCACAAATCTGAGTTGTTTTTATCCTTTGCACCGTAGCTTAATAAGCAAGGAGCCCAGAATCTAATCCAAATAATTTTAATTCCTTATCTGCCTTGATTTTAGAGCCATAAATGATTCTTTGTTCATTTCAATCACCAATTGTCTGGGCAGCAGCAAGCAGCAAATTCCACTTTGCACGTGTGTTTTAATGTACAGCTTGCATATAAAACAGTTGCAAGAGAGCTAAAAATAAAAGGATTGCGGCTCTGGAATCAGGCCACAAGGACATCATAATAATAGTTCAGGTTACTGATTAACCAGATAAGGCAGGTTATTATCGCTCTTTGATGTGCCATAAAAGCCTCCAGTGGTTGCTATATCTGGAGTCTGGCTGGAACTGTACACAGATCCTGTGTGCATGAAAACCTTTGGCCTATTTTCCATAGCAATCCAGACATACAGATTGCTGGAGAGGAATATATTTGAATGGGGTGTCTGGAAAGATTGGAAAAAAAGTCACATGACAGTTTGCCCTGCTTTGAGGGAAGGCACAGAAAACAGCCAAATGCATGTTTTTTGCAAGGTTGAATTAAAACTTTGTTTTATTTATTTATTTATTTATTTATTTATCTATCGATCGATTGATTGATTGTGTCATTGTACCATAGGATGTAAATGTTGCTGAAACTCCTCCTTCATCAGTGCTTATAATATAAGGGTTTAATTTGCCACAAAGGTCACCCTAGAGCATCTCTTTCATTTCCTTGGGGTTTTTTTTAACTTCGTTTTTTTAATTTTATTCAGAAGGTTAAAATACAAAATAGAAAAGAAGAAAAACGTGAATTAAAAAGGACAAAAAGCAAAAGCAAAATCTGTTGTTGCAATTAATTTGTCAATGTTCAACTAGGGGTGATAATATGTGTTTTGACTTTTTGTCCACTTTGTTAGGTTTCTTTTTTTACATTGCATGCATCTTGAAAATAGCTGTGAATTTTCCCACAGCAAAAGCAATATTGCTTTGGGATAATATATAAATCCAAGCCCAGTTCTTTGAGAAAAAAATATCAATATGGATATAATACAATAGTAACTTTTAGAATAGAATAGAAATAATAACTTTATTGCCACTTTGAATGTACGCTAATCGGCATATATTAAAGTGAAATTTCATTGCATAGAGTTTTCAAAGGATCACCACCTCCAATATACAGTACATAATATAACTGAATAAATAAATACAGATAAACAGAATAGAATAGAGTACAGTAGAATTCTTTATTGTCCAAGTGTGATTGGATACACAAGGAATTTGTAAATACAGAATTACGCATATACCCATGTATATTATATGTCACAAATTATATTGCTGTTGCTATTATTTATTTAAATTTATTGGACTCCCAACGCCTGTGGATTCTGTAAGAAATGCTGCTACTAATAACATATTTTTTTTAAAAAATATTTAATGGTAATTCTTGAGGAAGTCTCCTTGACACAAAAGATTGCATCTCTTCATTCCCCTCCCTCCTCTTCCTAGCTCTACAGCTCCACTTCCTATTTCACCGCCCACGTTAAAGATGGCCGAACGAACAACTTCCGCCCCGAAGCTGCCGTTTCCAATGAGCGGAAAGCTTAAAGGAACGCCCTCCTTTTTCCGCTTTTCTGCGCCGCCTGGGGGGGGGGTCTTTCTGGGAAGCGCATGCGCGAAGGCGGGCTGCTTTTTGGGGGGCACCAGAGTGGGCTCCTTGAGGGGCGACGATGGCGGCGGGGTGCCGGGGGGGATGTTGCGGGTGCTGTTGCTGCTGCTGTGGGGAAAGAGAGAGCCGCACCCCGGAAGAGCTGGTGAGGGGTGGGCTGGGAGGGGCTTCCCTTGTTGGACCCCCCCCCTTTTCAGTACATTTTTGGGGGGAGGGGGCCTCATCATATTTGCATATGCAAATTAGGCTGGGTGTGGTAGCAATTTTTTTTTTTTGCTCTTACCTCACAGCAAAGTGGAGAGGGCACCTCTGAGCACGTACAGAGTTCCATTGCTGAACCAAGAGGTTCAAAATTCAAAATGCGCTGCCAAGTTTTCTGAGAAGGTTTGGAAGGGGAGGAGAAATAATCATAATTTAAAAAAGAGAAAACAAAAATTATTTGTGACACAAGAAAACCACAGAAATAAAAAAAAAACCTTTAAATTGAAAGAACAAAAACTTAAAAATGAAAACAGAAGTCTTGCCCCTTTGGCGTGGCAACGACTTCAGTAAGGCGCCTGGGTAGGCACTTCATGCAAAAATCTTGGCTTTTTAATTTTAATTTTTTAATTGATTTATTTTTTTTCTTGGATGTTGGTCGGTTATGAATATAGCCGGTTTGCCTTTTATCATATTGACCTGTTTGTTTGTTTATTTATTTATTTATTTTGCAGACTATCCTTGGAGAGACCGAGGATGAAGACGATGAAATTCTGCCCCGTAAAGACTATGAGGTGAAATGCCTCCAAAAATAAAAAATAAAAAAAATAGCTTAATTTGTTAGGAAGAACATGAAGCATTGCAGAAAAAAAGGATGTTGTTGGGAGTTTCTGCTTCTCTCTTAAAAGACTACAAATATAGAGGAGTAGCCCAAAGCCATTTCATTCCTGAGTAGGTTTCCTCAGAGCCTTTTTTTTTTTTTTGAGTGGGGAGGGCAAACTCTGCCACTTTAATCGATGTTGGGAAACTAAGCAAGGCCAGAGTTGAGTATCCTTGGAATGGAGACCACAAAGAAATTTTGAAATAATAGAAAATACTTGTACCTCGGGTTTTAGATTTCGGCTTTTGGTTGGCTCTCCAAGTTTGTTTCAGTTTCTTGAACGTTTTGTTGACTGTAATCAGGATTGTTGTTGGCTGATGTTTTACCTAGTTTGGTAATGAAATGTGCAGAAACTAAATTGAAACAGGCTTGGAGAGGAAGGCCAAAAACCAAAAACCATAAAGAAATCTCAGGATTGTAGGCAGGACAACATAGCCTGAAAGAATGGCAAATTTCTTTTGTGCGGCTGGAAAGAAAATGGCTTGGACAAGAAGGTTGAGTCACCATAAATTGCTTTTAGGATGGCATTTTCAGTTACACCAGAGAGGGGGGCTTTAGGTACACATAGCAGCCAACTTCTTGCAGCACTCAAAATTGGGGTTGATCGGTTAGTTTATCATAGGACCAGCTCGGTACCCGTGCTTCACTATGAAACGATGTGGTCGGGCTTAGTTTTTGGGGAGGAAAATAAGGGGAAAAATTCTGCCTACCAGCATCCACCAGTATTCATCTGGCTAGCGTCCTGTCAGTGTGTGAGAGAGTTGAGGGCTGTTTGGAAACTGAAATAGTATTTACTGTGTGAGCAGGAAGGAGACAGCAAGGAGCCTGGGAGTGGCTTAGCTCAACTGTTCTGTGCTAAAGCTGCTTGGTGCTGTGAAACTGAAACTCCTCTACTTGTGTTTTGCATTTGGAAGAGATTTCTTTTCAGGTGGGGAGGGGGAGTAGAAATCCTTAGCAACAGAGCGTGGGAATAATAATAATATACGAAATATTAATGGCTCTGATGGTCATTTTGAAAAATCCTTTCTTTTAGCACCTAGAAGCCAAGAGGAACATAGGTGCCAAATTTCAAGTTTGTAGGCTTTACGGTTCTGGGGATTTTGTGATGATGCGTGGAGTGGTATTTTGCTTTTATATAGATAGATAGATTTAGATTAAGATTAAGATTAAGAGTAAGAGTAAGATTAAGATTAAGATTATTATTATGGAGTTTGTCATATAGTCCTCGACTTACGACTTCAATTGAGACCCATATTTTTGTCGTTAAGCAAAACCTTTGTTAATTGAGTTTTGTTCCATTTTACAACCTTTCTTGCCCCAGTTGTTAAGTGAATCTGTTTTTTTTCCCATTGACTTTGCTTGTCGGAAAGTTGCAAAAGGGGATCACGTGACCCCAGATTATTGCAGCTCTCATGAATGTGAGTCAGTTGCCAAGCCTCTGAATGTTGGATCCCTTGAACGTGGGTGGGAATGCTGCCATGGTCGTAAGTGTGGAAAACGGCTGTAAGTCCCCTTGTTCAGTGCTGCTGTAGCTTCGAAGGTCACTAGATGAACTGTTGTAAGTCGGGGACTACCCTGTAGTGTGATGTGTGGATCCAGCCACCACATTAAATGGCTTTTTTGCTTTAAAGTTGGCTATAGCCTGCTCGTCTCCCTGATTGGGCAGCCTTTCTGAAAAGATTGGCATTTCGTTTCTCCCCTCCAGAGTTTGGATTATGATCGGTGCCTCAACGAACCGTACTTGGAAGTCCTAGAAAGTCTCGATAACAAGGTAAGACGTAACGGGAGTCTTGATCGCAGTGGGTCATAAGTTTAAGAAATCACATTGTGGAAGGCCACTTGCGTTGCTGGGGATAGGGGAATATTTGAATTGCCTTCAAAGCGTGTTAACGTCACTGTGAGAGGCACTCTACGTGTCACATCCATGCTTCCCTCCATATTCCCCATCCAGGGGGTAGGTAAAGAGCAAGAGTAATTACGGGTAGTCTTCAACTTACGACCACGATTGAGTTTTGTTGCTAAGTGAGACATTTGTTAAATGAATGTTGCGACTTTTCTTGACTCCATTGTTAGGTGAATACTGCAGTTCTTAAGTTAATAATGTGGTTGTTAAGTGAATCTGGCCTCCTCATTGACTTCGCTCGTCAGAAGGTTGCAAAAGGCGGATCGTGTGATCCCGGGATGCTGCAACTGTCATAAGTACGAGTCAGTTGCCAAGCGCCTGAATTTTAATCATATGATTGTGGAGATGCTGCAACTGTCATAAGTACGAGTCAGTTGCCAAGTGCCTGAATGATTGTAAAAATGTTACAACTGTCATAAGTATGAGTCCGTTGCCCAGCGTCTGAATTTTGATCACATGATTGGGAGATGCTGCAGCTGTCATAAGTATGAGTCAGTTGCCAAACGCCTGAATGATTGTGG